TCGTAGCAACGCGATGTCGTCCGCCGCCGGCCCGGCCCCGCCTTCAGCGCCTCGCCTACCCAGCCGCCCGAGCCCTAGCTCAAGCCCCGCCCCACCTCGGCGCCCCGCCCTGCAGCCCTCCCAGCCACCTCAAGCCCCGCCCTGGCCCCGCCCCTCCAACTGGCGCGCCCAGGAGCTCGGCACCGCCCCTGGGAGGGCTGTAGTGGTCAAAGGTCCAAAAGGCCCCGGGACCCCAAGCTTCAGCCGGCAGCGACTTTCAGTAACCAGAGCCATGTTCCTTCCGCTGCGCGTCGAGGGCACCACGCGCTAGGCCTCTGCTCGAAGGACCGCGGTCTGAACGTTCTGCCCCAAACATAGTACCTGCCTCCTTCAAGCCTTGACACAATTTCTCCTGACCCCCGGATTGGTACTGCCACCGGCCTCGCCTCTAGTTCATCCCCTGTACCCTGCTCTACTCGTTTTTGGATAGCTCTGATAACCGTCAACGTACCATATAGTTTACTCAGGCTTTTTGTTCGTTTATTACCTCGCTCTCCACTCCCGACTTCGATGCAAGCCCCATGAGGGCAAGGATCTTTATGGATTTTTGCTCACTGACTTCTCCCAAGAGCCTAGATCAGTACCCTTCTGGATTTATTTGTAACACCTGTACAGCTCCTCACATTAAGAGGAGCCCTGGTGGCACAGTGGTTAAGAGCTAACGGCTGCTAACCAAAAGGTACGCAATTCCAATCCACTATCCGCTCCTTGGAAACCCTATGGTGCAGTTCTACTCTGTCTCATAGGGTAGCTATGAGTCGGAATTGACTCGACGGCAACGGGTTTGGTTTTTATTTCTTCACATTAAGATAATGTCTCCAGTAACCACATTTATCATGGGCCAGTTAACCAAGTCTGCTCATAGGATGTAGCAAGAATCAGCATCACAGTGCAAAACGGAACGGAGGGCAATTAATCGTAGAATGAAAGAAATAAATATTCCCAGGCGTTCCTGAACCCATTAGGTACGTGTATGGAATCAAAAGAATTATTTAAGCTAATTCTTTAATAAAACAATCAGCCATTAGTAACTGAGTTTAATTGGTAACATCCACTTTGCGGAAGATCCCTACAGAGTTGAAAGCACAACCAAGTAGAAATTTACAGTAAATACCAATAAACCTTTTAGAGCACAGCTTTACGTGAAATACTAGAAATGGAACTCTCAACAATTGCATTCTTCCATAGAAACGACAAGAAATTAAAATTAACCACAGTAATATACAACAGAAGGAAGAAAAGAAAAAAAGATACAAAGGAAAAGATTGGAGAAGGGGGACTTTTCCCTAGCTACCTTATTATAATTTCACTACAAGGAATACAAAACAACGCCTTAAAGTAACGTCATTTAATTATAGGTACATAATCCCACTTGTAAAAATACAGTGTCTATGTATGCCAAGGCCTTGAGCAGCAAGGACTGTTCTGATTCCTGATGTGGTTTTTTATTCACAAACACTGACAACTTCTTGATTAAAAACATCAGACAAACATTCTCAGAATTAATTGCGTTAAAAGTTTAGATGCTGTGTGGATTTTGATAATACACAGGGGCTTAAAATAGTTCCAAGAAGCCAAAGTGGAATGGTCTACTTTATGGACAACACCACCATCTTCTGGCCTTGTGGGATATGGCTGCTGCATTGCACTTTGACAACTACAGGCAAATAGCAATTTACATTTTTGTCCTTCCGTACCCCCAAACGTTAAACGAATTAATTGAGGAATCCACAGCCAGTCACTTGCTACCGGTGGCAAAGGACAGTGAAAGGATAAATGTCCAAGGAAAGATAACAACAGAGGGAGAAGGAAGGGAGTGGAAGTGAAGAAATGAAACAATCCAAACTTAATCTAAAACATTATCTTTAAAAGGTGTATTCTTAAAAACAAATTTGCAACACAAGGATTTTTTTTCCTTTCCTAAGTGATAATTTGTTTTAAATATAAATACATTTTGAGAGGAAAAACTTTGTCACTAAATCACAAAATGTTCTATACAATAGAAGGGCTTTTTTTTTTTTTTTTTTGGCAAAGTACAAATCCATGACTATGCTATACTGTATTTTCAGTAAACTTCTTGCCTTTGTGAGCTTATGTGGAATTAAGTTGAGACAAGACAACAAGCAGAATGTTGTTTGATATTCTTTCTATACACAGAAAAAATGAAATCAAAATCTTAAAAATGCTACCTATCTCTATTACAAACCTAGATTAGTCATCAAATAATTTGAATGCTAGACAGTTTTTTGCACAAAAGCAGTATAATTCTATCAGCTTTTATATGATGTTCAGTACCCTCTGAAACTGGGATAAGCCCTGAAGTGACTCCTGACAACTGAAAAGTTCCCAGAAGGTAGGTGTATTCTCAGTGGGGTTGGAGGACACTGTGGAAATCACTCGTCACCTTCCCATTTTCTTATTTTCAACTCAAATTCAAGGATTCAAATGCCTTTATGTACAGTATATTTTATTCCAATTTCTGTCACTGATTTTGTTAATCTGTGACTTCGCCACATTTTTAAAATTTCTGTGTAGTTGAAATTTGTAATTAAACAACTCACATCAACATTTAAATGTCTTTTTCAAAGTGCTCCGAGATCTATGAAAAACGGTGGCAGGTGTTACTCTGAATACAATTTTTGTTTCATTGATTTTGCTGTATTTATTAAAAAATGGAATCGTCAAATGTTATATTTACTTATCATTTCTGCAGAATAAATTTACTTCATGCTTCACACTCTGGATGCTGTCTGAGCTGCTCCGAATCTTTCTGGGAGCACGACCTTCAGGGAGCATAGCATGCCTGTGCAGCCCAATCTCATTCCAGACACTTCCAGGCAACTGCTCCTAAGAGGCACATTCACCTAGAAAAGTGCACCAAAAAGGAAAAAAAATAGAACAGCATATTTTTTCAATGTTATACCCTAAATTTGCATTGCCCATTGTATACTTGTATATTGTATACTTACAAAATGCATTTTTTAGTTATACAACTTGGAGGATCAGATGTTACTCTGTCTTACAGATGAGAAAATACAGTCCCAGGACAAAATACAGGACCAGTAAATGGAGAGGGGCACTGGAACCCAGGCCTCCTGAACAGCTCTTTCTGCTACAACATCTCTCTCAATTTGCACAGAGCAAGAAAAAAGTCCTGACACTTTATCACCCACTCCACCAAGCATGAGTACATAAAAAGCAGGTACTTTAAAATTTGTACATACCAATATGATTGATTAAACTTTAGATATTTTAAAACACTTTCACTGAGATACTGCAGTGATGCCACATGTCCCTAAATTGGTCCTTGAGGGTTCACTGGTGTCCCAGGCTCACCACAGTGGCCCTCTCCATACAGAGCAGTCTCTCACTTGTAGTGATTATTTTCAAAGTGACCTATGTGACTCCACCCCATCAAAGGGTTTAAAATGATCACTCCTCTATGGAGGCCGAATTCCATCAATAATCTTAAATGCTATCTGAAACCTGTCTCATAATTTTGGTAATTAGATTAAGTATTAGTAAAAAAAAAAAAAAAAAAAATCTTTAAAATCAATCACCTCTACCCAGAACTAGTGATACATAGGTCAGATAGGAGTACAACAAAATTGGCTTCTTCTGGCCTATGGCACAGTGGTTAAAGCACTCTGCTGCTAACCAAAATGTCAGCAGTTCGAACCCACCACCTGCTCCTCGAGAGAAAGATGTGGCAGTCTGCATCCATAAAGATTTATAGCCTGATAGCCTTGGAAACCCTATGGGGTAGTTCTACTCTGTCCAATAAGGTCACTATGAGTCGGAATTGACTTGACAGCAGTGGGTTTTTTGGGTTATGGAAAAGAGATATGTTTAATGAAAAATATTTAGATAATATTCATTAATGCCCTTTTACTAAGGTATATCCTAAACCAGTGTTTTCCACAACAGTTTCATTCTGTAACATCTAATATGTTTATAAATTTACCTTGCCTACTTGGATGGGATAAGGTTACACAGTGTTATGGATTGAATTGTGTCCCCCAAAATTATGCATTGTAAATCCTAATCTCTATGCCTGTGGTTATAATCCCCTTGGCAATGTGTTGTCTTTGTGATGTTAATGAGACAGGATTAGTGTAAAGTGTGTCTTGAGTCAATCTCTTTTGAGATTTAAAAGAGATTAAACAAGCAAGCAAGAAGCAGAGATGGGGGAAGACAGATGACAAGACACTTGAAGATCACCCAGGAGCAGAAGCACAATGAGACCAAGACCTTCCTCCAGAGCCAACAGAGAGAGAAAGCCTCCCCCTAGAGCTGGCATCCTGAATTCGAACTTCTAGCCTTCTAAACTGTGAGAAAGTAAATTTCTGTTCGTTAAAGCCATCCACTTGCGGTATTTCTGTTACAGCAGCACTGGATAACTAGGATACAGACCTACTGACAAAAACTGAGGAAAAGTAGAGGAACAAGTATTGTAGGGGAAAAACATCACAAAGTTTAGTAAAGTAAAAAAAAGTTTTATTTGGCATATATTCAAAAGGACAAAAGTGGGAAGCAGACAAGCATGCTGCCAGATCTAGAATGTCTGCCCAAATCCAAGGAAATATCACAGAACAGACAAAAGTAGGAAAACGGACAAGCATGCTGCTACAGCCATGTCTGCCAGAAACCAAAGAATATTACAGAATATGCAAAAATGGGAAAACGGACAAGCATGCTTCCACAGCCATGTCTGCCTGAGTCCAAGGAAGGTTACAGAATCATCAGTATATATCAACATCACAAAATGGGTAGAATCATTGAAAGCGTCACTTTTTCACTGATTGGCTAGAAATTGTAATCTTACATTTTGAATCATCTTTCTTAATCATTGGTATGGGTTTCAGTTACGAAAGTCAGGAGGGTCTTCATTGGTCCAACAAATTCCTATTCACTAAATATTAATAGAAAAAGACAAAAGGTGAGAAGTCCTTTGGGTTAGGTTTTATTGCCCTTTCGTGAAAACTTCCTTAAGATAATTTCTGAGATTGTCCCATCTGTTGTCTTATCTCAGGGCCCAGTTGAAGTGTCTCTGCAAGTCCGTGAGGGCCCAGCCCCAGATGGGTCACAGTTCTCCATGCTCAAGTTCAGGGAGTAATGATTCCAAATATTATTTCTAAATCACAAGGGAAAATATATGAACAGTAGCTTATCAGTATGTTCATGAGGGACTCTGGCAAAATACTAGTCCAAACTATAGTCATGTTTCACCTCCATAATGTGATTCTCCTTTGAAACAATTATTCTCAAAAACAATATTGACAGGTGATATTCTGATTCTGAATGTAAGTGAAATTATTAGCTTCAATTAGTTAAGATTTGATTTAGAAAAGACCTCATAGAGCTAAAATTTAAGCCAAGCCATTATTTTACACTTATGGAAATTAGAGTCTACAAAGGTGAAGTTACCCCAAATTACCAAGCCAGATGTAATTCAAATACACTTCCTATAATATGAACTTTCCAGATCCTCTTTTTTAGCCATATTGCCTAATTCTCATCAGA